GACCACTTAACCACCAGAAGGGTGGGAATAGATCATGCCATGAGAATACATCACGCAACTAAGTTGATACCCTCGAAAAATAATGATACAAGCGATCGTGGTGAAAAGGCCGACCCGAACCCTGGTCATCACATGGAGTCACCCACCCGAGATAAGGAAATACCTGCTGAAGATTTAGGATCGATCCCTTTAACATCCAAAAAGCAACGAATTAACTGAGAACTGCTCGGATCCGAGGAGATACAGGGATAACAAATCGACATGGATTCTGAGGGCTCCCCTTTTCTGAGATAGACGAGTGAAAAACAAATCAACAAGTTATGAGGACCCAAAACGCGAATCAACAAATTCCAGGACAGATCCTGTGTAAGATAAGCCAACCTATAAGAAGAAGAACTGCTTAAACCTGATGAGGTCTATGGCAAAGCAAGTCTACGAGTTTTAGGGTAAGACCTAGAGCAAGCAAATCGACAAGTTCCAGGACAGATCCTGGATGAGGTAAATCGACAGATTCCAAAATAGGTTCTGGGAGAAATAATAAACAAATCCCATAATGGAGAAAGCAACTTGATGAAGTTCTAAGACATCCAAAAGACAAACTGGCTGCTGCGAAAAGTTAAGGGAATGTATCAAAAACACAACCCTGCTTTTAAAAAACTCGAACAACAAAATGAAAAGGTAACCTACACCCGTCCAAGGTCCACCGAAGGACAAAGCTACTGCAAAGACTTGACAAGTGAACTACATAACTCGTCATGACCAGACTCTAGGACATGATCGGATCCAAGGCATGACCAGGTCCAAGGCATGACCAAGTCTCGGCCTAGCAAGTCTCTGCTGACCAGATGTCTTCTGCCAACCAGGTCTCTACTATTGACCAGGTGTCTTCCACCGACCTGGATTATTCTGCCGACCAAACCTATTCTGCTGACCAGGCCTATTCCGCCAACCAGGCATCTTCTACCGACCAGGTCTCTTCCACCGACCAGATCCAATAACTGCACGACAACAAAAGTCAGCAGCACGTAGAAATAAGAACTACGTGGAAAGCCGACCTAGTTTTCAGAAATTGTGCTCGGCAAGGAGAAGTCACGTAGTCGATACGAGCAGATAGAAGAAAGCGACATAAGAGAGAATGATAAGGCTTGAAGTACTTGAGAAAGTTTTCATTTATACCTTAAACAAAACCTCCTCAAGTGGGGGCCAGGCGAGTAACAATGGTCAAGAACTCGAAATGATACAGGCTTAGAAGCAGGCCGATAACCTAGAAGCCAATTAGTGAAACTAGAGAAAAGAATCCCAAAGGTGTTGAAAAAGGCATGTGTACAGGCTCAACAAGGTTGAAACAGAAAGCAAGCAAGCCAAACCAATCAAGGAAACCCAGGGTATACAACCATTTGGCAAAAGTCAAAATATGTTAGAAACCCAAGGGTGTTGATTAAACTTAGGGTAAAAAATTGGCAGAAGCCAAATAGGTTAGAAACCTAAGGGTTTCGAATAAACTCAAGGTATAAAACCATTGACGAAAGCCAAATAGGTTAGAAACCTAAGAGTAAACCCTGGGGTATAAAACCATGGGCAAAAGCCAAACAGGTTCGAAACCCAAGGGTGGTGCCGCTGGCGCAGCTAAAAGTTAGATTCCAAGGCTAAAATCTAACGATTAAAACTAACCGTATGGCAAAACCCATGAGACTTGATTGCAGCCAACTATGTCAAAATAGTTTGGAGCTAGGAAGACCAGTCTATGAAACTACAACCGACAACGACAGAAGGGTATCGACTGGACTCAGGGAATAAAACCATTGGCAAAAGCCAAATAGGGTGGAAACCCAAGAGTAAACCCAAGAGTATAAAACCATGGGCAAAACCCAAACGAGTTAGAAACTTAAGGGTGGTACAACTAGCCCAGCTAAAAGTTCGATTCCAAGGCCAAAACCTAAATAGTTAAAACTAACTGGTAGAACCCAAGTGACTTGACTACAGCCAACTACAACAAAAGGGCATGGAGGCTAAGAAAATTAGCCCGAAAGATGACAATCAACAAACGACAAGAGACTAAGGGGACTATTCCACAAAATAGTTAATCGACAAAGTACTCTCAGTATAGAAGACCTAACATTTTGCCTTTTATGTTGAGAGTGTGGACTATTGTTATAGAGAAATAAGCGAGATCCAGCTAGGCGGTAGGAGATCGGAAGAAAGCTAAGAAGTGGGCACGAACCAGGAAAGGGGGCCGACACTTGGCGACCCGAGCTGGCCTCCGACCGAGTAGTGGTTGGCCCCCAGCAGTTTTCGGCCCCCAGGCCGAGAACCCCAGCGGTTCATCCTGAAGCATCCCGCCCCAATTCTCGATTTGACCTTAAGTTCACAATTAAATGAACTGGCCCAGCATGAGGCCCATTCCATCTAGATCTTCTGAGTGCATTAGGATTCAACTTATATAAATCCTAAAGAGAATATGATTTAACTGATGTAAATCCTAAAGAGATTAGGATTCTACCTCTATAAATAGGAGAGTAAGCTAAACCCTAAAGGTATGCTCACAACACTCTACACTTTATACTTAACTACTCCGATTCTCCTGTGTGGCAAGAGCCACACTAGTCTTTAATGTTATTATGTTTTGCAGGCATCATCGATCCCTTTTATTCTTGAAGATTGGTGCAAATTTGGACAAATCCCAAGAATCCAAATTTCTGCATTAACAGATATGTACTTTGTTTGAAATCTCTTGAGAGATACGTGTTCAACACCTCCTTTCAATTTCTCAAATAGCTGATACTCTCACAAAACCTCTATCCTCTACTCAATTTCATAACTTGAAGTTCAAGCTCAATGTCTACTCATCGACAGACATCGACTTGCAAGGGAAGTCCAGACAAATCACTGAAAATGTTTTTTAATTTCTGTTGAACTGTTGTAACAATATGGGTTTATTACCCAATTTTGTTAATGGACATAGTCTAAACACTTCATCTTATAAATAGCCCATAACTCATATTTGTACATTTCAATGAATTGTAGATAATCGAAAGGAGCTCTGAAAGATTATGTTCTTGTTGACCTCCTCTTTCTCATTGCATCTATTTTGCTTGTTTATAAATATATACTTTTCGTTTTATTATGCTTAATTTGCAATATATCCTATCTTCTTGCCATTCTGTTCAGTTTTTTTCACTCGAAATATGGAGCAATAGAAACCAGTTATTATGAAAAGCAATTGCAAAAGTGTCCTAATGAATTAGAAATAGAATAAAAACAAAAAATAGAAACGTAAAATTTGTAAGTCTGATGCATGAAAGTTTTAAAAAGTAGTTAACTACAAGAGATTTTTATCTGTACTACTCTATTACTCAATTCCTACGAGTCAGATACTAAGTGCAATTGTTTCCATAATGTCAGACTGGTTAATCATTTGTATTGAAGAAGAAAATTGTGGAAAATAACTTATGTAACATTCATTTCTCCCGTATATTTTATTCCTCGTTTGACTTATTTCATTTCTCTCTTTGCTGGAATACTAGACGTATGTATTTGTATTTGTATTTGCCTCGTCTTTGAGGAAGCATGTGTTTTGAGACTTTCAATGCATTAATGAATGATTGAGGATCCGTTTGGTAACATTCTCGTTTCTCGTCTTTTGTTTGTTATTGTTGTTCAATTTTTGAGAAACAGGCTTGTTTGGTAACTCTTTCGAATAATGTTTCAAAAAGTGAGTCAAATTTTGGAAATTACAAAAAGTACCGTTTTTGGGTTGAATAGTCCTTTTCAACAGTATTGGTTTTTACCTATTTCTTTCAAAAACAAATGTTTTATAATCTTTTGCTGACATCACACCCTCAATGCCAAATAATTCACATTACTCTTCTATCTCTTATCTATTATTTTTTCACTTTTTTTCTCTCTTGTGTTGTTATTTCTCTTTCCCATTCTTCATCTTCTTCTCTCTCCCTCCCTTCCTCGTGTCATTGTTATTTCTTTTTTCCTTTGACTTTTTACCAAATTTCTCTCTTCTCTGTTCATCTCCGTTTCATATTTGGTAAGTTAAATATTGCTTTAATTATTAGTTGAAAATTCATTTAATTATTTCTGTTTTCTTCAATTCTTTATTATCTGTTCTTCTCTTTTTTCAATAATTATTTTTCTTTCTGGTTCAATCACATATATGGACCTTAAACCAAACAAAATTGATATATTTTTTTCTTTCAATATTCATATTTGATTTCATACCTAAATCTGAATACTTCTCTCTGTCAATTTTACTCCAACACCCACAAGTACTGCACGAAAGGCCACCCTCCACCAAAAACGAACTCTAATTAATTTCTCAAGATCTGACTAAGAGGGAGAACGAGAGCGAGATCTGGTTGAAAGTGGGAGTGAGATCTAGTTGGTAGTGAAGCTCTCGCTCCGATCTGGTTGGGAGCGAGATCGAGATCTTTGGGAGGGAGATCGAGATCGACATTTAAGGGAGATCGATATCAAGATCTGAGGGAGAACGAGAGGGAGCAAGATCTAGACCGATATTTGAGGGAGAACGAGAGGGAGCAAGATCTAGACGATATTTAAGGGAGAATGAGAGGGAGCGAGATTGAGATTTGAGGGAGAACGAGAGGGAGTGAGAGTGAGATATCACTTAAAGCAAAATCGTCAATGTTTTCGAGTCCAAGATCAGGAACTGAGACTTTCACCATTGATGGACATAAGTATTTCGTTGAGAAGAAGGAATGAAAAAAAAAAACCTAACTTCAAGCCAAGAGGTTTTCAAAATTGCTTATTTGATATGTGCCTTATTTGGGGAAGAAATTGATTAAAAAAAATTTCAACTGACAAGGGCATGGAGAGAGAAAAGAGATCTGGTAAAATAGCAAGGGAAAAAAAATAAGAAATTGATGAAAGAAGGGAATACTAAAAAAAATTTACGTTTTAATGTGGTAAAAAAATAAACACGGAGGAAACGATGGACAGAAAAAGCACGGAGGAAACAATGACGGATAAAGTAAAAACACCACTAAAATTAAAAAAAATTTCAGAATTTTCAATGTCGGGCATATTCCGACAAAGTTACAGAATTGTAACCCCTCCTTTCTATTGCCGCACTGCAAGTCCATGTCTTTCTTTCTCTCTCAAACATGCGACCGACGTTCCAACCCCTCGGTCGAATCATTCTCGCCATTCTGTTGTGCCTCCAACAATACTCAAAGTAGCAACAAGTATCCCTCGAGCAGCAATGACGGATCTTCAGCAGCAATGGATCTCCAGATCTGAATGTCTCGGTTCTCCAAATCTCGCAGGATTCTACTTCAAGCAATGGTGAAATTGAATGGTAGAGTGAATCTACTCGTCCTCTTCTTCTTCATTGATTTCATCATCTTCCTCCAGCCATCTGCACTGCAAACAGCCGAAGAAAGCAACCGTACCAGGCATGGGTGGAGCCCAAGCAATCAAGAGGATTCCTCGAATCAAGTTTCCCAAACGCCATCCCAACCCCTCTGGTCTGCCTCCGCCTTTTTCTTACTTTTCTTTCTTCTTCTTCTTCTTATTATTATGATGAATCGATGATCGTCCTCAAGGAAAGCTAATCTTCTCTACCTGAATCGAAATCGCCAAGCGTTCTCCCTGTCGTTCCGTTCTTGATTTTTGACTTGTTCTTCATGGATGATTTCTCTTTGGAAAATCCTTGACATGACCTGTATTTGTGGCTGTGGTTCTGTGTTCGTCCGTTTGATTTTAATTTGATTGCTTAGAGTTGGGATTTTTTTTGTCTCTTGTGTGGTTAGATGTTTTGCTTTTATGGTAATGAGTTCTATTTAAATTCTAGCCTGTTTTAGCTTGATGATGGAGATCCTGATGCATTTATGTGGATCGCAATGGTGATTAAAGAATACAAGAGTGTGCTATTAATTTGTTATCTCCTAGCTATGCTGGCTTAACTTTGATTTTTCTACTTTTGGATAGCATTTTTAACTTGGATTTTGAAATCTAATGACACAGATGAGAAAAAAGGACAATTTTGTTAACCACACAATTTTACTCATGCAGTGTCTAAATTTAGAGATTGGTACGGTATTCGATTTATTTGCAAATCTAGGTGCTATACGTATTGATGATATTTGAAGGTGAAATTTTCTATATGGCAATTTCTACCTCCTGAGACCTTATTTATTTTATAATAAGTTAGGGTTGTGTGGGATGGTTTTCAAACCATTTTGAAGGGGTTTACCTGCGTATTTTTTCGGGTTCTAATGGCGGATGAGTTGTTGAGTCGACAGGTGGAAAGACTGAAATTGACTAAAGAGGAGAAGGGGGAAATTTTTGATATGGGTGAAGATGAAATTGAGGACTATGATAAACAAGCTCAATTCTCACTGGTCTGCAAACTCCTAACATGGAAGAATATCCCTGGTGAGGTCTTCAAGAACATGATGCCTAGGATCTGGGTTAATGTAAATGTGAAAATTGAGTCAGTAGGGAAGAATCTGTTTCTCTGCAAATTCAAGACTGTTCGAGATAAAAGCAAAATTCTCAACAATGGACCATCGTTTTTTGATAAGTCTATGGTAATGTTGGAGGAACCTAGAGCAAACTGCAATTTCAACGAGCTGGAATACAGGTATGCATCTTTTTGGATACATTTCCATGAACTACCATTTGCTTGTTTCTCTAGGAAGACAGCTATAGCTTTAGGAAATCTGGTAGGGAAATTTGAAAAGCTAGATTCCGATGAGGACGGGAAATGCTGGGGAAAAACTCTTAGAGTTAGATCTCATATTGATGTTAGCAAATCCTTACGTAGAGGAGTAATGATAAAGATCGGTGCGATGGCATATGAAAGATGGATACCCATAACATACGAAAAGCTTCCAGATTTTTGTTATGGTTGTGGTAGACTTGGCCATGTGATAAAGGACTGTGAAACCAATGATGATGAAGGTGATGAACTACAATATGGTGCCTGGTTAAGATCGGGACAAAATCAGCCACGAAAAGGCAATAGATCAGAAGGACGTAGAGAAGATTTTCGAGGCAGAGGCCGTGGAGGTAGTAGGAAATACTAGTGGAGATTTGAGGAGGAAGAGGTGGAAGAACAAACAGATCAGGTGACGGAAAATCTAGCAGTCGGAGAGGCTGAAGGTCTGGCGGAAGAGATCCCTGCCGGTGAGGATGCAACAGCCGAAAATGGAATAAATGGCAAAACGGAAAGAGAGGAAAATGCGGAATCATATATTATCAACGTTGAAAATGGGGGACAAATTAGGACCACATTAAATTCCTCATTAATTGCTAAGGTGGGACAAGAAAGTTGCACAAGTAAAGGGAAGGAAAAGTTACCTACGGATATCGGATTAGTCAAGCAATTAAATGAGGGTATTAATATGGGCATAAAGGAGAGAGATATGAGTGGGTCCTTTAAGGCAAATGTTGGAAATCAAGGAAGTAATTTCTTTATGCCAAATTTACTAGTGGTTGAGGACAATTGTTGTGGAAACGGAGTGGCTAATATAGAATTGATTGTTAAGAATGGAAATGAGAGTGGTGATACAGAACAAAGGAAAAAATTAATGAGGACATGGACGCGGCAATAAAGGAAAGGAAAAGACAAAGTGAAGAAAGATAAATTGATTGGAAGAAAACACCAAATTGAAGTGGAAACAATTGAGTCGGAGAATAAGAGGAGGTGTATTGGAGCAACAGAACAAGATTCTACAATAACGGTGGAGTCTGCGGGACAGCCCCACCGAACACAATGAAAATCTTAAGTTGGAATGTTCGGGGATTAGGGAATCCTCGAACATTAAGAGCTCTACGTCACATAGTGAGTAGAAATAATCCCCAATTGGTTTTCTTGATGGAGACCAAATGCCACAATAGGATGGATGATACAGTGAAGAAAGAGATAAATTTTGATTGTTGTATAAATGTGCCGAGTAATGGAAATAGTGGCGGTTTGATGCTTCTTT